TAAACTTTATTCGGTTCAACTGGGCTTTAATAGTTTTTATTGGATTTTAAAGCATCTATTGGGCCTAATTCGGTTTAATTGGGCGTTAACGAGTGTCGTTTGGACTTTAATGAATATTAGTGAACTTTAATGGACATATTGGGATTTATTCAGTTCAATTTAGTTTTAACGGGTATTGGGTTTTAATGGATCTTAGTGAACTTTAATAGACATATTGGGCTTTATTTAATTCAACTTGGCTTTTATGTTTTTGTTGGGCTTTATTGGACCTTATTCGGTTCAATTGGGCTTTAATGGTTACTATTTGGGTTTTAATAGATCTTAGTGAACTTTAATGAATGTATTGAGCTTTATTCGATTCAACTGGGCTTTAATGGTTTCTATTGGGCTGTAATGGATCTATTGAGCCTTATTCGATTTAGTTGGGATTTAGCGGATACTATTTGGAATTTAATGGATCTTAGTGGATTTTAATGGACGTATGTACCGCTTTAATGGGCAAACAGCCCAACCCTTGGAACATACTACAACATTGGGTTTTATTCGGTTCAACTTGGATTTAATGTTTTTATTGAACTTTAATGGATCTATTAAGCCTTATTTGGTTCAATTGAGTTTTAATGGATGCTATTGGTCATTAATAAAAATAAAAATCCATCGGAAATACATAGAAAAATTTGTAGAAAAGTTTATTTTCCTTCCAAAAGCTATTTTTAAAGGAGAACCCAAAAATATATACTTTTTAAAATTTCCGATATATTTTTATTTGTAAATGGAATAATTATTTTCACCTACGGAACACCGATGGAACTTTTTGTCGAAAACTTAGATATTTTTATAAAATTTCAAGAAAAAGGTGGCGACAATAATAATAATAAAAAAAAAACCCTAAATCACTAACCCTATTTTCACGTGATCCTTCACTAACCAACCTCATCAACAGACCTTACCATCGGCCATCGACCTTACCGTCGGGCAAATGAATTCACTACTAAAAAATGGATTTTCCAACTGCCTAATTCGTCGGAAATCCGTCAAAAATTTGGTTTTCCAACGGATTTTGCTGTCAGAAAAACCCATTTTTTAGTAGTGAATTCATTTGCAATCTGTTTAATTCATGGTAGGGACTATTTGCAAGCCTATTAGATTTATTAAACCCATTATTTTTAATTAGATTTGTATCAACATCAACCATTGTTTATCTATTTGTCATTTTAGCAACCCCACCAATGACCAACTGTTGAGATATCCCGTCGACTCCCTCCACCTTTGTGGGGTCTGGATCCCAACAAGTGAGCAAAAAAGGAGGAGGAAAAGAGACCCTTCATTTGAATTACCATAATCGTTGGTCTTAAGAAAATTATGATTAATGTAATGTTTAATTTTTTGTTTTAGCATTTATAATGAACGTTATATGTTTAATATTGTTTTTGATTTTATTAACAAATTAAATATAGTTGACTTGAAATGATTTAAAAAGATTCTTCTTTATGAGTGATGTTCMTATTCATCTATAAGGGACGAAGGAATCAACCAAGTTGTTTTCCTGATTCATGGCTCCTATGAAGAAAAGGCTTCGAGCTTCTATTTATAAAAACCAGCCGAAATAATATATCTATACTATTTTATAAAACAAATTTAGCAAAAGTCTTAAAGTCTTAAAATACTAAATGACCAAGATATCCTTATCCGTCAAATTTGTAGTTTTCTTTATTGGTTTTRAGTGTTTATCTTAAAACTCAAGTTTCTTGGTTCTTTGCTCTTGGTGTAAATCGAACACATTTGTGGAGTCGTTTAAATATGTTGGATTTTAAATATATTGGAT